ACAAAGAAATTAATTGGCCCAACTAATATATATGAAAAAAATTAGCTAGGCATGGTGGCGCAGCTTCTCGGGAGGCTGAAGCAGAAGATCACTTCAGGCGCGCCAGGAGTTTGGAGGTTGCTGTGAGCTAGGCTGATACCATGGCACTCTAGCCCCAGGTGAGAGGAGTGACGACTCTGACTCAAAAAAAAAAAAAGAAAGGAAAAGAAGGATCAGTGTAACGTCGCACTCGCAATGAATCCAAGCATTGCCTTTACGAGTGCTCTGGAATTATTCATTTTCTACGCTACTAACAGACTTCAGGTCACAATTTCCTGCACCTTTCCAGCCTTATCGTGTTCTCCTGTTCAAGGTGGAGGGGTGCCCGTGGGCCAGGAGCCTTGGACTGCGCGGTATCCATTGTCCCCTTGTGGAAGGGTGCCTATTGACCCTGTCCTGTTTGGAAAACCCATACCCGTGCTGTCTTTTGCCCTTGCATGCTGATTAGGGTTAGGATCGTCTCGTTGTGCTTTGCTCCACATTGGTCCTTCCTCTCACTGGTGTTGAGGAAAAAGAGGCACCATGGAGTGGATTCCTGTGTGTGCATTGTAATTACGCGGGCAGCAGCTCAGAAGTAGCCATTTCACGCGTATCCTGGAATGTACGGCGCGGCACCGGGTGAGAGAATCAGAGGCCGTCAGGCGGAATATTTGCGGAAAAATCACAGGTGAATTAAATTGTCAAGAAAAACGGTTCTTGGCGCTAAAGAAGGAGTCAGAAAGAGGGGAGGACAGCGCAGGTGCAGTTTGTGAGATTGTCCAGACGCCTAAGGGGTTTGTGTTAGGGAGGAGTCCCAGGGCCTGGGAGGCCTCTCCTTGTTCTGCACGGGCTTTGCTCTGCAAGCCTGTAATTCAGTTAATTTCAGCACCCGCTGTTTTGTCTTGGGGGAGGGAGTGATGGTTTAGAATTGTGGACCTGGACTGTTCTCCAACTACCCACATAGGACTGCTCGCCCGTGGGCTGAGAGCCCCTGCGAGGCAGAGGATAAACCATGTCCTCTCCCCATCGTGGAGGGTGGGTACGGCACAGTGAAGGGCACAGGTTTTAAGCTTGTTAAGTCTTGCTGAGAGCTGTGAATTCGCCCTCGCACCCAGGCTCCTTCAGTTTTGCTCTTTTTCTGTGTTGCAGACAGAGGTCTTGCGTTGGCTTGCCCAGCTGTAGAGAGAGTGGCCGCGCTCGCGCCGTCAGGCCTCTCACAGGACTCCTGGGCGCTCAAGCGATCCTCCAGGCGCTGAGCCTCCCAGAAGTACGCGTGGCGGAGTACAGGCAGTGCGCCACAGACGCCTGCTAATTCTCTCTGCTATGTCCTCTATGTGTAGGTTGGCCAGTACT